GAAATTGATAAGTTGATTGGTCTTGACATCATGCAAACTGCAACTAAAATCGGCACCGTATGCCTGCGGGACCTGGTAAACATGATCTCAGGATATCAGTGTTTGCATTGCTGGTTTATAAGCTCTCCATTTCTGAGAGTAAGTTCATTCGATTATGTCCGTCACAATAGAAGACGCACCACAAAGATCTGAAGATGCAAGCGGCTGTGCTGACAAAGAAGAAAACGTAATTGAGGTAACTGATGCACATCCTGAAGCTGGAAATTCTAGCTACTTGATCGTTCTGCAGGTTGATAAAGATGCAATATCGCTGGATTTAACTCGCACTCGTCTCATGAAAATTGAAGGATTCGAGTTTTTGCGAAAAGTAAAGACCTTTTAGAGGTTTCAAGAAGTTAGGAAACGAAACTCTTTAGATCCGGTCTTTGTGCCTAAGATGGAATCTTCTCAAGAAAATTGAAGGTCTGAGCACTCTTACAACTCTGACTGAACTGGATTTATATGACAATCAGGTCTCCTTCGACAACCTAACTTGCTACTGTAGTAACGAATGGAACATCATTCCAGATTGAGAAGATCGAAAATCTTTCTAATTTGGTGAACCTGGAAACACTCGATCTATCGTTCAATCGTATTTGTAAAATCGAGAATCTTGAAGCGCTCGTAAAACTCAAAACCCTCTACCTTGTTCATAATAAGATCACAAAGATTGAGGGCCTTGAACAGGTATCCAATTTCCTTGCTGAGAAATTCCATAGCTCACCGAAGAATACCAGCAAGGTGATTTCAGCTCACCGAATTGGAATATCTGGAGCTTGGCGATAATCGGATCAAAAAGATTGAAAATCTTGATTCAAACTGCAACATCGTACGCCTATTCCTTGGTGCCAATCAAATTCGAAAGATTGAAAATTTGGAGAATCTGAAAAAGATCGAAGTTCTTAGTCTACCTGCAAATGCTATAACAGTCGTTGAGGTAAAGCTTTCTCAATTTTAAGCATGTAGAAGTTCCACAGAAGGAATCACGATGTGTTTAGGGTGTATCCAGTCTTAACACGCTGCGAGAAATCTATTTTGCCCAAAATGGAATCCAGAGCACATCTGGTTTAGAGCAGTTGACAAATCTTGAGATTCTTGACTTCAATTATAATCGCCTCAATAAAGTGACAGGCATTCGTCATCTCAAGAAACTTACCGATTTTTGGGCGAAAAATAACAAGGTGGGTTCTCGAACGGGCAAGTCTGCGCAATGTCTCAGAATAGCCATTTTTCTATGAGATGGATGTGGCAGTAGAAAAAATAAAGGTCTTGACTGAATAACGGAACGTAGCGTTAGTTCCCAAGTGATTCTGAAGATGTTTCTCTTTGAGCGCGAAAATGTTTGGATTTGCAAACAAACAAAAATTGCACAGTTTCCTTGCGCACCTTTACTCTCATAGATGGCCTATTTGAAATTCAACCTTGTACAAGTCCGTTTTGAATTTCAGTTGGAGGATTGGCAAGTGTTCGATGAGCTAGTTGATCTACCGCATTTAAACCTGGTCTATCTTGAAAGCAACCCATTTTCCGAGGCGCAGGATTATAGGTACGCACTA